GAGGCAGTGACATTTGAAGTTAACTTTTTTTTTCAGTGACATTTGAAGTTAACTTTTTTCGGCAAAAGATATATTATTTCCATTTTGAAATATTTGTCGTAATTTGTTCAACAAGATAAGATTTTCCCTAGATAAAATTACGATCATTCTTTTGGTAATACATGTTTTATGTGACATGAAATGGTGTAATAGATTCGTTCCAAAAGTGTTTACTTTTGATTTGATTTTGTATGACAAAGACATTATATTTCCATGTGATTTTTGGTAAAAGATGCCATATATATTTTCTGAAATGGATGGAGTATATGTGAATGCTTGATTCTATAAGCAAATGCTAAATTTTAGGAAAAAAACGGTAAGTTTGCTGCCCTCTACAAGGATGAAATTAACTATTTTTTGGCTTTCATTTTGAGACATGACAAACATATTAAAATGCCAAACTAAGATATGCTTGTGTTATCGAATCTCTATATTTTACTCTTATGTACACGTATGGCGCTCGATCCAGATCTAAAGGCCTCCGTCTACTTCAACCAGGGCTGCTTCCGATGGTCCTGCTTTGGGCGGCCTTTGTCGCCGGAGTTGTACCTGTATGGCGGCTGGAGGTGGGAGGTGGCTCCGGAGAAATCCGAGGCCAGCAGTGCTGGTCACGACGGCGGCGACGCCCGAGGGCGCCGTACCCTTCTTGTAGGCGCCATCCAGGTTGCCTCCTTCCCCTCTTCCTTCCACCCAGCTCGTATGCCGGGCGAAAGCCTAAATCCTTGCCGGATCGAGCGACAGCGGCGCTCCGGGCGTCGTCACCCTCTTGGGGGTGTTGTTCGTGGTGAGCTTGGGGTGGATGTGATGCTTTGGTTGCTTGGCGGTGGATTGGTCTTCAGCAGCCCTGCCGATCTCGGCGGAGCGGTGCTTCATCCTACTCATTGATGGTGGTGTATCTCGGCGGCGCCACACAGTGGAAATTCGGCGTCCGATGTGTGGCGATGGACTCGCGCAGGAGGACGAAGCTGTCTGGTGTCGTGGTGACGTTGATGGCTGAGTGGCCAGACAAGGTAGAAGCCTCAATTTGATCTGAAGACGGACTTGTGGAAGATGGCGGCGACAACACGAGTGCGTCTGACCGGATTGTGCCCCAGACCCGGTATGTGGCTCGGCTGGGGCTTCCGAATGTGTTTCGGCTTCCGGCTTTTGATGTTAGACTTAGGTGAGTGGTCTGGGTAGTGGCCCAGCTAGCACCTCTTCATCATTTTGGATAGAAGTAGCGGCATATATTGCCAAGATGGTAGATTCAGGCACACTGTTATTATACTTTGTAAGGTCCACGAGAATAATCAATAAAGTGGCCGTATGCATCTCCCAGATGCAGAGGCCGGGGGTCATCCTCCTTTTCTAAAAAAAAGTAGCAAAGCTACCAACCACATGGATAAGCAATAATACATGTCATGCGAGCAAATTTATATACCATGCAAAATGCTGCCATGACCCAATAATCAATGGAACCAATTTGTTCAGAGTGGTCAAATAGATCCTCACCATTAGAGAACTTCAAAGAGGAGATTCAACCTTAATCTCTGGAAGCTACTGTCAAGGAAGTCATTAGCCATCACCT